TGTATTGCGTGTTTTCTCCCACTATTCTTTTCTGCTTACCTTTCTCTCTACTATTTTTATGATTTTCGCTTCCGTTTATTTCGCAATGCAGCAAATCAGGACTAGGCGCTGATTGACATCTTTGTTTAATAAACGCCTACCTCTCTCTCTCCCATAGAGCGAATCCGCAAAGAAAATTTAGGATCGCAACCGATCACCTGAAGTGCTTTTCTCACAGGCGCAACGCGATATTTTATGAGACGATCATTTCGATCGACTTTTGATAAACCATAGTTAGCATCGCATCCCACTATGAATTCTTATAAGTGTCTGAAACTCATTATATTTCAAACTAATTCTATATCAGAATATCGCCTTTATTCGCGCAATTCAAACGACGGCGCCGGCTTCGCCCGCCGGCGTGTGGCAGGCGGCATACTTCTTCAAAATGGTTAACATCCACCAGCTCGCCTGCGCAATCACTACATTATCATACTTCTTGCATTCGCCGTCTGCTGCAGGCATCTTGAGGACCGGAAGTTGCAGTCGTAAATAATTCAGAAACAAGCGATTACCGGCACACTTTTGTCAAAACATATATGACATTCAAGGTTTCTATATCTGTAATTTTTAAAAGTTTAAATCCTACTCCTGATTTTTGAACAGTCAGGTTTTCGTAGCGAAACCTAGCCACATGTTTTTGTCCATTACAACGACCCTAGCAACGGTATTTTGTATCTATGACGTCACACTTACGGAGTCAATTACTATAATTTTGCAGACCCAAACGCGCATAATGTATGATGCGCTTCTCAGTGAGGTATATTAAATTTGCAAACAATTCTTAGTAAAAATTTATTAGAATAAATTAATCAATCACCTGAATTTGCCGGGCCGTGTCCAAACATTTAAGAATTTATGAAAATGTCAGCTTTTCTTTTGAGCAGAAGTCACGATGTGACAAACTACTTCGCCACGTATTCGATGCGGGAGGATCTAAGTGTCAATTTCTGACAAGGATTTGGCCGTCAGCAACTGTCGAGTCACAAGTTGGATAGAAGCGTCGGTATCGGCAAGCTCAATGTAGCAAAAACAAGAGTGCAGCGCTTTGCAACACAACTGTGCGCGCGTGCGCAGCTAAGAAGGCAGCACGTCATTTACTCTGGCGAATGCAGAACCTTTTTTTACAGCAATCTTCACAGATTCTAAAAAAAAGAAAAAAAGAAAACGACTCAGGAAGGAACTGAATAGCCCTGAGAAACGCCGCGCAAGCTGTAATGTGAAACTCCAGTCATGTTTTTAAAACATTGAAGTTTTTTTAATATAAAAAGTAACTTCGAGTCGCTACTATTCATTAGAAAAATCACTCACAAAAACGTCATACACGTCTCTCAAAAAAAAAATAAACCGTTTTAATCGGCATAAATGCCAACAACATGGCCACTCTGTGCTTTGACAAAGCGCGTCGTCTGCTCGCATCCTACCAGCTCCGTCCCAGGAGGGCACCCGCGAGATGTCGCCACCAAAGCAACTCGTCGCCAATACAGGAACTCTAGACCAATTTGCATCGCCACGTTTCCTGACGGCGCACCGTGCCTGCTGCTGAGAACCGTGCAGTGCGCACGAGCATCCTTTTAACGCGATAGCATTCTTTAGCTACCCCCAAGGAAGTTATAAATACTAGGAGGGGACACGTTGCAATATTTGCGAAGCCTAGTCATAAAAAGTTTAAATGATGTTGCGGCCAACGTGACCAAAGATCTCTCGGGCAATTGGTGCGCGTGACATGTCACGTGTGAAATGGATGGTTGATTTTATAAGGATTCCTTTGTGCGGTTGCGCGCGTTACGTTCGGTAGGTTTTATGAGATTGAAAACTAGACGTGAACCAAGCAAGCGGTTGAGGCGGATCACGAACAGACGACACACCGCTGAGCAGCGGGAACAGAAAACGAAAGCGCGGCCAGGCGTCGCCGGGACGCTAATTTCCGCCGGCTACGGGATGGGCGCTTGTAGCGTGGTCGGCTGCCACAATCAAATTTGCTTTTTCTCGGCGGGGCTTACCTTTCACCGGTAAGCCCTTGGCGTATTACACACACATAGTTTTACGGTAACAGGAATCGATTAACGATTCTCTTAGATTTCCGACGGTCACCGAACTGCGCAAACAATGGATTTGGGCCGTTGATCGCGACGGTGGCTGGACCCCATCGAAGTGGTGCGTGGTGTGCTCCGTGCACTTAAAAACCACGAACCTCTACAGCAGCGTTTCAGGTCGTTGTCACCCGAAAAGTGATGGCGTTGAGGAAAAGTCACTAGTTGAGGAAAAGTCACTACTGAAGTACCTCCCAACCATAAAAGTTAGCCAAGACCACCTTGAACTTTTCTTTTGGGGCCATCAGATCACATGGGGAATGCAATGATAATCCAACTGCGAGATAGTTTGCTGCAGCCTTCAAGAACTTGCTTGTGGTAAACGAAGTGCGAGATGTCACACCTGGAAACTGCCTACCACTTCATGTCAGCAGCTCAGTGAAGCAAGACTCCCTGGATATCATCAACTGGTCCACCGCTCGAAGAAGCCTCGTGGAGGAATCGGAAGGCACCAGCATGGATAGAGATGACGACATTCCTCTCGACCACGATCACTTGCCGGATCCAAGATTGGTGTCAGAATTATCCTAATAGGATTATTGCTTACATTGCTCGGTTTGTGGCTCGTCGCCACCGAAAAAGGTTGCACTGTGCAGACTCCATTGACGCACTCACGATCACAGCTCCCACAGGTCAAATCTACTCACTTATCCGACATAAAACCTTAGGAAGGTTGCTCTACCTAACTGGAGATGTTGTCAGGATTTGTCGAGAAGGTGAAAAAGCTCTGCGATCTACCCTGGCACACCCGTCCACATGGACAAAGAATTTCTTCCCAAAGCTACTTATCAATGTTCTCAGATCATTCATTGAAAATGACATGTTCACCACACTCAATGAAAACATGCTTGACAACAACCCAATGGAAAGCCACGGATTTCATCTTATGCGATGCACCGCCCAGAAGTAACTTGACAGGCTGCACAGCATAAGCAGAACTTCTACACAAAGCCTCCATCCGCAAAAGAGTAGACAAAGACGTACAAAGTTGACACAGTTCCAAGACCAGTGAAGGCACATACTTGGGCTTGAACAAGGATGATTAGCCAGGAGCAAACAATTACAAAAACAAGGCAGATAAAATTTGACGTGACATTATATCTGGGTCTTAAGCATGTTTGTGTCGATGGACATCACTGTTAAGAGAATGCAGCAAGAGTGAAATCTCATTCATACTGCCTCATTTTCTTACGTTAGGTTACGTTAAGAAATATTACGTTGAAGTCATCGGGAGCTGTGTGCCCCATATTAAGCGAGGCTACCAGTTTGAGGGGAAAGCATGACACGCGACATTCGAGACACGAATGTTTCGGTAACTTATACGTATCGTAACTTAACGTAAGAAAATGGGGCAGTGTAAATGAGCCTTTAGACTGCAGAGATTGTACATATATTCACAGCGTGAACTATATACTAGTTTGCTTGTGTGCAGTTAAGACTGCTTATATATAGTGTCATACGTATTTCATTTTGTTTGCAAGAATATAGTCCATGAAACATCTCCCAACCCCGAGTTAAATTAAATTGGTTCAATTCGTCACGACAGGAATAAAACATCCCAGTGGACAACCTGCTTAGTGGTGGCAACAAAAAGAAGCGATGAAAGCACAGCTATCATTTGCAGATGGGCGCGGAAATCACCGCCATAAAAATCCGTTCGTATTGGTCCAAACTGTCGGTTGTATATAATTTGTTCTTGCTTTGGCTTCTGCAGTAATTAGTGGCCAGGAGATAAAAAAAAAAATACTCCACGCTAATACATTCAGATGCACGGTACGTTACCCGAATCACGTCAACAGGCAATCGTTACAGCGTTGACGTTCCACGTTGAATACTATCGTCTTAAGGATGGTAACGGTCTGTAGAAAACAGAATGCATTTGCTTTATAGTTGGGGGTACATAACGAAGCACAGCAGGCGTAGAATCGGTCGGCTCGGCGCAGGTAAACGTTTCCAGCTGTGATGACTTGTTAACTTCTGGTCTTCGTTCAGATTAGAAGGTAGAAAAAGGGTACTCGCATTAGTAGAAAGAAGATAAAAGTAACGTTTTAATACTTAAGCGGTTGGAGTGGCCACACAGGCTGTGGTTTCATCGGTCACGATCGCCACACAGGCATTCCAGTCTCACACGAGCTCGTGCACACACAGTGCTCCGGCTCACGAGGTCTCGTCGTCGTCTTTTTTTTCTTTAAGGGGTCATTTACTTGTGGAAAGTCTACACTCAGCCGTCCTGGAGGCTTAACGTCCTCGTTAAGTTTGATGACACACACAAATATTAAAGTAATAGATGAGCACACACGAAAGGAAAAATTACTGTACGACTTCACATTAAACACTTTCGCAGTCTAGCAGGCAGCGTACGTTTTCTTGAAAGTCTTCTAACTGCTGGGAGCCCCTCTTGCTCGTCTCCCGAATCTTCGGAGGCAACATCGTCGTCGAGGTAGGACGCTGCCGACGTCGTTGACCATCCTTTTAACTGGGAGACGTGTGCCGTCGTTGCGAACCGGCTCCCAGAACTTTGATCGAGCTCTGCCACTCGATAGGTATCTGCGGGCAGCACCTGGGTGACAACCAGGGGTCCTCGGTACTTGGGTTGTGTCTTCGTTGGGTTGCCGGTATGTTGTGTTGCTCTCCTCACAAATACAACTTCTCCCACATCGTACAGCTTTGCTGGGTAGTGCCGACGATCATACGTCTGCTTGCTTCTTTCCTGTTCCTCCAGCAACCGTTGTCTTACACGTACTCGCAGCTCGCTAGGATCCTTCCATGTGGCCTCATCAGCCAATGCTAGCTCCTGTAGCCCAATTCCGTAGAAGCTTGGCTTGTATCCATGAAGAAGTTCGAATGGTGTCTTCCCTGTTGTCTTGTTCACAGCATTGTTCGGTTTACTCGCTCGACTTGTCCGTTGGCCTGGGGGTGACGCTCTGGTTGTGCCACCTCTCTGCAATGACGTTGGGTATGGTCAGTTCCGTTGCAGCGAAGGCACTTCAAGGGTCGCTTAAGCTGGGGGCAGTCCCGTGCCAACTGGCCGTACTGGTTGCAGTTGTAACATTTCCGTTCTCCTCTTCCATTCGAGAGTGGCGGCCGTTTGTCAGTGGTGTTCCTCGAATCGCCAGTTTTTCTTGCGAATTTCGCACCTGTGTCTTGGATACTGGCCGCATCGGTTATGCTCTTCTTGTCACGGGGACCACCAAAACGTTCTTGCCTTTCGCATTCGATCCTCTCAAATTCTTGGATATCGTGCAGGAGGTCGTCATCGTCGTCGTGGGTTTTTCCCAACAGCATTGTACTTAATTGTCTTGAACGCAGGCCCGTGATAACTTGCTCCCGCGTATCGCAAATGTCAAGTCCCGCCTCCTTGGACAAACAAACTTTAGAGTGTAAATAGGCCGTTGTACTTTCGCTCCGTTGCTGGACGCGATCCTGCATCCTTCTCCAGCGTTCCGCTGCACGCGACTGGCTGACAAAGGTTCGGCGAAATTGGTCCTCGAACTCTTCCCACGAGGTGATGTCAGCGCTGCGTGAGCGTAGCCAATCCTTGGCGGCTCCCGTGATGTAGGACTTGGCGCTCTCGAGCAGAAATGGTGACGGCCATTTACGGAGCGTCGCCGTTCGCCGCAGGTTCTCCACCCATTCACGAGCTGAAGCCGCGTCCTCACTGCCGTCAAATATTGAAATGCTCTTACTCAGGTCGGGCATTACTTGGAATGTCGTCACGCCTTGCGATTCCACCGCCGCTGATGATGTCGTTGCTGTATACGAAATCAGGCGTTCCAGTAAGTACTTCAGCAGACGATCTTTTTCCACGATTACGTTAAGGAGTTTACGCACGGAGACTATTTCGCCTTGATCGGTGGCTTCGGCTGAGCTGGTCGTGTGTGGAAGCTTGTCCTTGTCTATCTTCGATTTAGTCAAGCAGCGTGAAGCTCGTGGTACTTCCGGGCAGTCATCGATCCATATCCCACTTCTGAGATGTTAACTTCTGGTCTTCGTTCAGATTAGAAGGTAGAAAAAGGGCACTCGCATTAGTAGAAAGAAGATAAAAGTAACGTTTTAATACTTAAGCGGTTGGAGTGGCCACACAGGCTGTGGTTTCGTCGGTCACGATCGCCGCACAGGCATTCCAGTCTCACACGAGCTCGTGCACAGACAGTGCTCCGGCTCACAAGGTCTCGTCGTCGTCTTTTTTTTTTCTTTAAGGGGTCATTTACTTGTGGAAAGTCTACAGACTAATAAACACCACCACGCTCCATGCTACCCGCAACCGCCAACCACGCTACGGTCACGTGAGGTGGTCACGTTGGCCCAATATGTGAGGAGGGTAAGGAGGAAAATGAGAAAGAGGCGATCCGTCAAGGGACCATGGCTTGTGGAGGTTACGCGGCTGACGTCATGCCCAGGTTTCCTATCTGCCTAACCATCAGTGGCCCTCTGAACCGCGAAGGAGCCAAGGGCAAGTGGCCACGCGAGTGGCGCCCCGCCGCTGATAAAAAGCGGGGAGGGGGGGGGGGGGGTGCGACCGCCCCCTTCGTTCCTCCCCCCCACAACTTTATTTAGGACCGACACTGCTCTAATCACATTGTTTAACGGCACAAAGAACCATTTCACGACACAATAGATTATCCCACAACTCGTATTTTTGTTGAAAATAACAAGAATTGGTCAATTTCTCAAACGAACCTTATCAGACTCTGAATGAACTTGATAATAAAAACAACCTGACCTGGAAAAAAAAAAGGAGGCGGGGGGGGGGGGGGGGAGATTGTTGATTGAGCAGGCTATCGCACACCAGCTCGGAGCGAGCGAAAGCTCGGGCTACAAAACCCAGGGATTCGTGGTTCAATCCCCACGCCCGCCCGTTTCGATATTGAGCGTCGTACTGGCGTGCGGTCGTGTGTCAATATACTGCTTAATGCATGTTAAATACCCCAGACTAAGGGTAGTACCGCACTGGCTATGGTGGGAGCTACATGCACGCTGAACCAATCAGCCGCCTCCCTCTTATCACTTGACCCGGTTCTCCACGCTTTAGTATGGTCGGGAGCGTGTAGAAATGGCGGAGGAGAGGCGTTTGACTAGTCCAACTAGGACGTAGTCTCTACCGCAGTCTCCGCTTAAGAGTGAAAGGAGCATAAATTTCTCATCTACAGCTGAGATATTAGACTCTCATTGGGACTGTCTAACTTCCGGTTTTACAAACATACCCACAACACAATTTAAAAAAGTCAATTTACAACAAAATGACGCATACTCTTGAATTTTAAATGGTACTCCTAAGGAGAATGTGTACTTATGAAGAAAAAAAAATATATATATTTTTTTTCTTCATAAGTACACATTCTCCTTAGGAGTACCATTTAAAATTCAAGAGTATGCGTCATATATATATATATAGATAAAGAAAATATAGCGTAGGATGCCTAAGACTATAAAGTAATGAAGTCGCACTTCGAAACGTTGTTGGAGTTTTAAAGCATTTAGTGTGTCGACGTTTCGGCCTGAGACAGGCCTTCTTCAAAACTGGTTGCCAGAGTCGGTTACAGGGTTGTTTTCGGTTTCCACACCCGGGCCACGTCACCTGTCAGATCACGTGTAAAAATGCCCAAGTAAAAGAGCCCAAGGTCCTTGCGAGGCGTTCACGAAGTGAACGCCTCGCAAGGATTATCCCTTCCGTTCCCCGAGTAGTCTACAGACGCTCACGCAATCTTAGGGACGCCATAGTTAGGTCTAAGACAACCTACACTGAAAGCACTGGCAGTCGCCCTTGTGGAAGAACCAATTGCGAGGTCTGTCAACACGTGACACCTGAAACCACGGTAGAGAGTACGAATTCCAATTTCACCTACATAATCCACAGAAACTTAAGCTGCAGTACAAGTAATGTGATATACCTCCTCACATGTGGCACCTGCGGAAAGCAGTACGTGGGCCAAACCAGCACACCTTTCCGATTGAGGTTTAACAATCACAGGGCGCATGTAAATTCATTTCCCAAACTCCCCCTATCAAAAGATATGGCTTTACCCAAACACACGTTTGACAAACTGGAGGTTACATTTTTACAATCCAATTTCAAAAGCAACCGTGATCGCGAGCAGAGATAATCGTATCTTATTTACAAATTTAATTCAATCCGGGCCGGTATTAATGAAGATCCAGGTATAATGTCATCTATGCATGCAATCTACCTTGATCCCCCTGTAGCGGAGTGACTGCAGCTAATTCAATCCCATTCGTTCAACCCTTTAATTTTTTCGTGTACCTTTCTGTATAACCTGTCGATGAGTCAACGGGTCATGACCTTCAACAGGCATCTTCCAACTGTTGCTCCTTGTTGAATGTTCTGGGACTGTGGATAACACTGTTATATTTACGATTTTTTTTTTTTGCAGTTGATTTGTTTATGCGCTTCGGCCGAGCGTTTGCTTGATTTACTGTGTGCGCTTTTTTTTATTTTTTATTATTTTTTTTAATACAGGGGATTTCTATGCGCGTTGGCGTTGATTTACTCTGTGTGCTTATTTCACCTTTTCTTTCTCTATGTAGGGATTTTTCTATGCGTTTTGGCGTTATTTACTGTGTGCGCTTATTACATTCCTCCCGTTTTTTTTTTTTTTTTTGCTTTGTTTTGTTTGACTTTGCGTCCTTCCGCGGCGTGCGTTGGTGGCCATCTGGGCCGATCCAACTATGTGAACGTTACTGCGCCTTCCGCACGCGACGTTCCTGGGGTCACGAAATTTGACGTGGTCTTTGGTTGGCTCCGATGGCTGGTGGCGTCTGCTGCGGCCGTGCGTGGAGTGGGGGGGAGTACAGCAGCGTTTTTTTTACTTGGGCTCTTTTACTTGGGCATTTTTACACGTGATCTGACAGGTGACGTGGCCCGGGTGTGGAAACCGAAAACAACCCTGTAACCGACTCTGGCAACCAGTCTTGAAGAAGGCCTGTCTCAGGCCGAAACGTCGACTCACTAAATGCTTTAAAACTCCAACAACGTTTCGAAGTGCGACTTCATTACTATATATATATATATATAAACGAATATGTGCAGATGAATGAACCATACTTAACCCAATGAATCAAAGAATTGAAGTTTTCAGGAACCCGCCGCACACCCGACACCCGATTACACCCGACCGGACATTGGGAGGCCCAGAGTTCAAATCCTGGCTCCGCCGTTTTTTGGGCTTTCGGCGGGTTCCTGAAAACTTCAATTCTTTGGTTCATTGGGTAAAGTATGGTTCATTCATCTGCACATATTCGTTTATATCCTTCTCGGAGACCACGTACGATGGTGTGAAGTGCCCGCGTTGTATATATATATATATATATATATATATATATATATATATATATATACAACGCGGGCACTTCACACCATCGTACGTGGTGCCGCCGAAAGCCAAAAATTGGCGGAGCCAGGATCCTGGCTCCGCCAATTTTTGGCTTTCGGCGGGTTCCTGAAAACTTTGATTCTTTGATTAATTGGATTCAGTACGGTTCATTCATCTGCACATATTCGTTTATATATATAAATATATATATATATATATATTAAAATAAGTTGCATGTAAAATTCGCATGATGATTTGTATGACCAGTATTGCAACAAAAGCCCTCAACTCCCATGTACCTGGTTAGCGGAGTTGTTAAAATATACGGAGTTTTCGTAGATGGCTTTCGGCATCCCGCAACGCTCTCTGCAACCCGCTGCGACATCAGGAACTCTACAGTCAAGGCCATCGGCGCGCAGGCGCAGTAGCGGCTTCGTTGCGGAGGGCTTAGCGGAGGGGGAAACGCGGTCTACGAAAACTCCCCAATATAATAAGGAGTTTTCGTGGACCGCGTTTTTCCCTCCGCTAAGCCCTCTGCAACGAAAACGTTGCTCCTGCGCCTGCGTGCCGCTAGCCTTGACTGCAGAGTTCCGGGTAGCGCAGCGGGTTTCGGAGAGAGTTGCGTAACGGCGAAAACAATCTAAGAAAACTCCCTATTCTTGGATAGTGGAGTCGGTCCAGGAGGTATGGTCACGTCAGCGGCACAGGAAAAAAACCTAAAGTACACGTACATCACACGGTTCCAACGAGGCAGAGGGGCTTAGAGTGATGAACCGGAAGTTCGGAAGTGGCACCCGCCCGGTTGCCGCCATGTTGTACGCAAATGTGACCACTCGTCACGTGACCTTCCAAGAGCCGTGACGTCACAGGTAAGATGGCAGCGCCCAGAGCTGGCGGATGCGAGTTTGTTCGGTGCGCGGTAGCAGTGATGTGCAGCTGCTTTCCGACGACTTCAGGCTTCTTCGTGCTCGCTGACGCAGGTATAATGTGAAAATATGAAGGAATGAGACTTTATACCCTTTTTGCGCAAGATCGCTCTGGATCATCTGGATATTAACACCTGTGAGACAACATCAGCCGTATCGCCGTACCGGTGCTCGGATTCCGGGATGTGTTCGAGGATCAATAGAACTTTGAGTGCTTTTAGCATGAAATTTTTAGATTCTTTTAGCTTTGTTTGAACCTTGAAATGTCTGAAAATCGACGCGAAATGTATGCGTCGGATGTAGAACGCAGGGGAAGTTGTTTCAGCCCTAGGTAACTGCATAATCACAGCAACTTTTAGCGAGGAAGCTCCTGCGATCTTTACATTTTGCACTTATCAAAATTTTACGATATAACTTCAGGCATAAAATATTCGCATTTTTC